TGATAGAAATGCTGCATGCACTACCTATTTGGTTAAATATATAGAACCGACTCTGTTTCGTCTTCGTTGGGAAACAACACCAGTTCTTCCTACTTCGAGTGACTTCCACATCTCGAACAACTACAGCCAGACACTCGCCGACAAAGAATTTCTACTCAACGGCACACTCATTCGTGGCAAGAGAATATTGACATTCGCCAACGAGCTGCAACTAGCCATCCTATTCAAATCGGTGCATATCTTCATCGATGGCACATTCTCGGTCTATTCTCCGTACTTTGATCAAGTTCTTACCATTCACGGGGTGTACCACGAACATGGTGAGTTCTCTCTTACCTCGATAGTCCGTATGTTTGAGATTTATCCCTTTTAGTCGTGCCTTGCGTAATCGCTCTTCTTCCTGGCCGATCCGATACTATCTACAAACGCCTATTTCAATTGCTCGACCAGGAAGCTACAAATCTTCGAATGACATTCGAACCGGAATCGATAACGAGTGACTTTGAGTCCGGTTTGATCAAAACAGTGTTTTATTTTCTCTCTAGCTTCAAATTCATTTTTCTTTTTCTACTTCCAGTTTCCTATGTCGAAACATATTGGTTGTTTCTTTCACTACACGCAGAGTATTCATCGGAAAATTCAGAGTCTGGAACTGTCGGCTGACTACAAGGATGATGAAGAGATTCGCTCTATCTGTCAACAATTATTGGCGCTCGCTCTTTTGCCTCGAAACCAAGTCGAGCTTGCCTTCAAATCTTGACGACTGCCATCCCCAATCACTTGATGATCTGTTCGATTATTTCGGAAATTTTTGGATGGAAACTATGTCAATCGATTGCTGGAACGTATCAGATCTCAAAATACGTACAAACAACAACGCGGAGGGTAAGATTCTTATTTTTTCTCCTTCTCATCACATTCGGAGATCATTCACTTAGGCTGGCACAACAGATTTGCTCATCGTATAGACAAGAAACACCCAAATATTTGGCACTTTATCCGTGTACTCCAAGAAGAAGAAATTGGCGTTAATCAACATATTCAACATGTGAAAACGAGCAAGAAGAAAATTTATGGGCAACAAACATGTCGCATTCAACGGTGTCTCGATACGCTCGGGCATCGATTCAGAGAGATCGACTACATCCAAGGCCTGTCGCTTTTGGTCGCAAAGAAGAAATAATGTTTTAAATAATGTTTAAATAAAGTCATCTATGTTGTCTTTATAAATACTCCAGCTGCTATTTTCTCCTCTATCTGCTCAATAAAATCAAAATACAAATTGGTGCTCCTGAGCATTAGTAATTTTTTCACGCATATTTCTCAACTAAATCACTTGTCGGCAAACTCACTTGCCGACAAATTATGCGTCGATGAAAAATTGTCGACAAAATAACCCGTCGACAAGATATTCTTTCGACAATCAAGTGTCGCCAAACAATTGTCGACAAAAGTGCTAGTCGACAAAAATTAGTCGACGAATGATATACATACTGATTTAAGCTACATTATGAAGGTGACACATCAAATCAGGGAAATATTCGTAACACGAAATTAACACACGAATTTTTGCTGTGTGAGTTTGATCTTTTATTTTATATGGTGTTACATTTAAACAAACTCTAGCGTTCTTGTAATTTCCATGTGCCCTTTGCAAAATGAATTCATTCATTCACTCATGACATTTTTTGTCGCATCTCCAACTGGCGGTTTCGTTTAGATGATGCATCTTGATGTTACGTACAAAAACGTGCTGAACGTTTTAATACAATGAAATAGTGGGAAGTCAAACAATCACTAAGCTCCAAAACAGCTAATTTCAACTGCAAAAACATTTTTTCGCGTTTATTCTTTTGTCTGCTAAGATATGGAAAAATCTGGCTAATCATTCTGTAATTCTAGGAATGCTGTCTATAATTATAATTTTGCCACGTTACAACTGCTTACATCGAAACTTTTTTCTTTCATTCTATCTATTGCCACAATTTATCGGTTTTGACTCTTAGTTTCACGTCATAGCTTGTCTAAAAACTAAAACATTTTGACTTCAGATTTATTTTGAAACGAAACAATATGTCCCTTGTATCCAAATGTGAAAAGTAAAATAACTTTCTTTTCTCTAATATACTGAGAAAAATTTCTATACTTAAATCAAAGTTCCGTTGTTCTTTAGAGAAGTTCAAGGAAATCACTTGTTTTAACAGCGAAACTAAGCCTATGAAATTAATTACACAGCAGAAGAAAGAGTGCAGTTGCCACATTAGAGCAGTTCTTCTGAGGTAGGCAACCACTGCACGACTATTTTTTAAAAGTTTGAAGTTGCTGAGATCAGCTTGAGAAAGTTGACCATCTTAGAGCGCATGAATTTCATATAAGTTCTCATCTTTACATGTTGTAACAAAACACTCGGCAGGTTTTTCTATATGCTTTCAAGGCGCATATTCTCAAAAGGAATTGGCTCTTGGAGAGTAGTAATAGAGTAAAGGAAATGAGGAGGTAGTACAATGTCTGAATCTATAACAAAAAAGGAGTAATAATAGAACAGTAACCGACCTTCATCTTCCTATCATTTACTCTACTATGTTCTACACAAGTTTTTATCATCCCAGCATAATTAATAAACTGCAGCTTGAGTAATAAAACTGATAAAAGCAGTGGATCGATTTATTGTAAAAATCTTATTCGTTTAATAAGAATATATCATAAAGATCAGTCAGTTTAACAAAGACAAAAACCGATAAATACAACTACAGGGCATAACAAAGTTGATATAACATTTAGATTTATTGAATCACAACTAGTACAAGCAATTCGTGAAGGTCATTGAATTGTTTTAGATGATATCAACAGTGCACCTCCAGTACTTGAACAATTATTATCATTATTTGAAGAGAATCCGGTTTTGAATTTATATGAAAATAATACAACAGAAGATGGAAGTGATGCAACAGAAGAACTTAGTGGGGATAAAGTTCATCCAGGTTTCGCGCATTTTGCCACGTATAATCCAAAACTTGAAGGTGCCAATAAACTTTCAACGGCATTAACAAATCGTGTTCTCTGTATATCTGGCGATGCCCTAGACAATGATGGTGCATATGATGTGAAGGTGGATAAAAGAAATGGTGACAATAAAGTAAATAAATTTGATCCAAAAAAAACAAATGTCTATAAAATATTGTTGAATCAATTCGTTGGTGTTTATGGTGGTCATGAACTTGTATCTTATTGTTTGCTCTGTCATGTTGATGCTAAAACTATGCTACAAAGAGAAGAAATACACACAATAAAAGGTTTTTAATATTCTTTTCGAACATCACAAAATACTTGTTCAACAGCTCGATATTTAATGGACAAATATAGCACAATTACATGCAGTTATTTGGGGATTATTACGTAATTACACAATGTGTATTGTGTAATTACGAAGAAAAAACAAAACTAATAACTGCATTTAAGAAAAATCTACATTTACCATTTTTTGTAAAGAATACATTTAACTTTGTGAAGCAAATTACTCATGGGTCTAAAAGTCAACTCGATCTTGAAATTGATGAACTGACTGATATGGTCAGTGTAGCTGAAACGTTCATTTGTGATTCCATGTGTATTCTTGCTATTAAATTAGCAGAATTTCAAATATCAACTAATGATGTTGGAGATTTTATCCTTGGATTTGTAAATAAGGTTTTATTATATCAACAACCGTACTTAAAACAAGAACTTGTTAAGATTTGCAAATTAATTAACTCCACTGGTCCATTGTCAAATGAAATAAGAAAAGAACTTTTGAGTGAGAAAACAAGTGAAGTACTGCGTGATGATATTACAGACAAGAGGATGGAAATGTTGTCAATACAAATTGAACGTTGTGAAAATAAATTATATGCTAAATTATATAAATTCATTCAATGTCTTTCGGTTTTTGATTTAGAAAAACAAGCTAAGCTATTAAAAAGAATTATTAATATCTTTCAAATTTTTGAAAACTCATTCGAGAACATTGAATTTCCTCCGTGGAGCATTTCTTTTACACAAAAGCTTTGGTACAAAACACAAATACTGATTCGTAATAAGATCGCTCAATGTCGTTTTATCTGCAATTCAAACTATTAACCGAAGTGGTGGATTTGCAATTTAATTTACGCATTAGAAAAGTCATTTATTACAATAGTTACTAATTTAGAAAACATTATTTCAAAAATTAGAGGTTCGCATAGTAAACTTAGTCAATCAGACAATGCAGATATGTATCATAACTGATACATATCTGCAATGTTTCAATTCAACAAATTCTCAATCAATTTTTAATCGTTGCTGGTTGGTGTGCGATGATGTGGAAAAGTACTGTTATCACATTGGCACAACAAACAAATGTTTACTGCGTTGATGCGAAAAAACATTTATTAACAATTGCAATGCTTCGAGTATGGGATATGAAATTAGCAATGTGGGAATGTTTACCAGAGGCAATAGAAAAGCTTGAAAGAGCAGCATTTGCTATTGGATCAGATGACGCAATTCGTTTTGATGAATGCACAAGATCAATCCAGCCGATACGAAACGTTTTGCAAACAGAATGTTTGAAGAATATTCAACGGCAATCAATAGTAAAACAGATCGAAACCCACAGAAAATGCTGTAAATGGTTACAAAACTTGATTTATGGTTCATCAGCTGGACATTTTATTCCACTTGTATATGCTTTAAGTGAAAAATTCAATATATTTCTGGAAAATTTGAAGCAAACGAAATTCATAGTCCATTGTCACTGATATGGCTTGGATTAATTTTCACTTTGACAGCTAAAAATATACCTAGTAGGGTTTATGTACGTATTATAGACTTCAATTTGAAAACTCTTCAAGAACGAAACGATGACGAATTTATAACTTGTATATTAGAAAAAGATGATGGACTTGATCTTACATTTTGCATTGATACAGAATCAATGGAGTCAAGTATTACATTAAGTATTACGCAATTTAATAAATCAAAGAAAGAAGCCAATCAAGTCATTTTGTTATGTAATGTTGATGATTCATCTTCGTTGCTGAATATTCTTAGTGCGTCATTTAAAGCAGCGGGTGCTTCGATTTTACACAATAAATTTCAATTACCAATTTCAGATCAGGATTTACTCTCAGACCAATCCAAAGAAGTTTTTAAAGAGAAAATTTCACTTGTGTTAACAGCAATTGCATCTTTTGATTGGAATTCGCATACATTTAACATTCAGACAATCACTTTACCGCAAACGCATCAATATCAAAAAGAAATAGAAATATTGCTTGCGGATTTAATCAGTAAAATTTCTTCTTCTGCAGTTAAATACTCGAAGTCAAAAAATAATGCGCTAGTAGTTCATGAGCTACTACATACATTAAATAACACCATTAATAATTTACGTAAGACTCAAAGAGGAGAAATCAATACTAATGCATTGAAAACTATTTTATCTGAAACAGACAACAAAGCAAAAACGTTTAAACAAATCTCATCACTTAGATCAGAAATAATTAATGAAATAACTAAACATTGGAAAACATCACTTCTCGATCGCAAACTATTAAAACGAGTTTTACAATTACCAATGGAAGTTAGTAATACTATTCCATTTGTCTTTAAAGAAATTCAAAATATTGCCCAAACTCAACAAGTTGAAATGGATAAGAAATTTGAAACACAAATACAATTGATAGATTCAACAAATCATTTGGTAACAGTTTTTGTTAATGAAGCATGCTCAGTTGCAATGAAAAATGATTCTATCAATACACATTGTCGAGCACAAACCGAATTACGAATATCCTTGTGTAAAGTTTTCGAGGTAGTTGATCAGAAATCCAGAAGAGGTGAGACTAAACCCATTCCTAATTCCTCAATGAATAAACGACGTTTATAGCGTTTATTTGGATTCCAGTCAGGATTTTTGTGTTTGCATAAGACTAAACCATTTAGTCCGGCAATATCAATCATTCCATAGAAAACACAAAGAGGTCATCGTCGTGTACCTCTTTTGACAGTGTACTTATCACCAGGGAAATTCCGATATCTAGAGAAAAGACCGTATAAAGAAAATGCCAACATACCTAAGCTACGTCAAGAGAAAGAGAAAAGATATGAGATATATCATAAATGCAAAAAAGGAAAGAAAAAGAATATATATGATAGTAGAACGAAAGTAAAAGAAAGGGAAAAGAAACGAAAACAGAAAAAAACGAAGTAAAACACATAAAGACGGGAGTTCTTCTCTCGTATCGTAACAATACGGGCGCTGGAACAACGAACACCAGCTAAAACAACAAATTAATCTATGAAACTGAACTTGAAAAAGATTATCTCTGTCCTTATGTTCGTGAAAGTATCTGAGGTGATTTTACGAGTTCATTATGTAATCATAGCACAGCACAAACGAATTAAGAGGTTTGAGGGTGTTGCCTTCAAAAATCGCGAAAAAACCAAATATTTCTATTGTACCTGGAAGTTTTTTACTATGGGTCAAAAATGACCCACATGGTAGTACTAGGGTTAATTATACTAACATACGTACAGTAATTAATGTTGCTATTGAAATTTCTCAAAACGATCTAAAACAAGGACAAAAGCGATCCAAATATCCCTAAAGAATTACAAGAATCTACGTCAGATACATTCGAAAATACACTGTTAAAAAAATTGCGCGAAGCCAAAAAATTGTTAGAAAAAATCCTCATAGAAGCTCGTCAAATACGACCATACCCAACCTTGATGAATGAACCAGCTCTACAAAATCTATCAAATATTGAATACTAGATCGAAGTTTTAAGGAATCAAAAAAACTTATCGCAAACAGAAGAAAGAGAAATTTTGATACTCATAGATGGTGTGGGTTTGACAGAAGAAAAAATTAAAATTCTTAAATCTCGTAGCAAAACGAAATTAACACAACTTTATCAAATTGTGCGACGAGTAGATGATTGTGCCCAGGACATGAATCTTTGTCAATCAATAGAAAAACTACATTCGTCAAATCAAGATAACGATATTGATGAATCAACAATTAAGAAACTGGAAGCTTCTTGTCAAAAACTGCGAGGTCTGTTTGAATTATCAAACGAAATCGAAATATAGGGAAAAACTGATACTTTGACAAAATTAATCGATGAACCATACGCAGATTGGGGATGGTGGCAGTTATTAAATATGTCTGTTTTGTGGTTACACTCCAAAACACATGAAAATCTTGAACAATCTCAAAGTAAAAAATTATACACAGTGGCAGCTACTTTAAATGACAAAGTGGCTATGGAATTTTAGCAAAGGAATATAATCTCTGAACAACAAACTACATTTAATGCAAATGAAATTAACAAATTGTTTGAAATTACTGTGTATGAGCATTCAAATCATGTAATTCAACCAATTAAGAAAAAACTTTAATGAAAAACTAACTACGACTACTTGGGATGCGATAAATACTGTTTGTCAGCCAATCGAAACACCAAAGCCTAACTTGACTTTTGATCCAAGATCAGATCTTATTGCATAGGGTATAGCCAAGATTATTGCTAGTATAATAGATTGAGTTTATTGTTAAAGGATACTTTTTTTTATTTGTAAATAAACGTTAGGTGAGAAAGATCTTAGTTCACTCGGGAACCTAACATTGGTGCACTAGCCGGCTTACTGTCAATCCAACATCACAGTAAGTACAAGCAATCAACATCACAGTAGGTGTAATCGAACCCACACAAACCAAAATGAGACAACATTATTGTCAACAAAAATTCAAACAACAGGAAACACAATCTTAACTCCTGTACAGGCGTTTGGGGTGGACAATTTCACATTCATCAAATAGTGATGGTTTATGATAAAAAATGTACAATCGTTCCTGGGCTCGACTTTCTACAAGCAACAATATTAGAAATACAATTTAGTCACGAATCACAACGTTGTTTGGTGAAATTAGATTATGATCAAACTGAGTTATATGTTGAATCTAGTGCCATATTTCAAATGTCATTTCAAGGTTTAGAAGATGATGTTTGATAAACTAGCATGTTTGAAGCGTATAAAGTCAGTGAAAAGTCATCCATCATTCATTATGAACAACAACAAATTAATAGCACTGTCGGAATATTTAGATGATCAACAATCGGAAGATGGATCAGAATCGTATTGTGATACCGATTTAGATGAATTATATGTTGATCCATTTGATAGTCGATATACTTCTAGTGAAGCAGGTGAAGAAGATGAAGAAGAAGGATTCTCAAAAACAAATTCTCAATCCATAACATCAGTGATAACGATAGGAACAGTGAGAAAACACTATTTCCATGGTCAACGCATGCGCGATTTTGGTTGTTATCTTCAAAATGAATCACAACGATTTATAGAAAGTGTCACGAAACGAATACAATCTAACACGGAAAAAACATTAAAAAAGTCTTCGGTTTTAGGTACTACAAACGACATTTCATCTGATCCGATTGCACAGAACACTCTAAAAGAAAATGCGACTTCAGCGATGTGTCTACCGAGAAAAAGTGTCTTTGTATTTTTTTTTTTTTTATAGTGTCTTTGTTGTGACTACATTGCGTCTTCAAAATAATACCTTCTATATGTCTTCAATGTGTCTACTGGTAGACATTTGTAAATAAACGTTAGGTGAGAAAGATCTTAGTTCGCTCGGGAACGTAACACTCTGTGCTTAGGTCTTGGAAAAGGAGCTGTATCGCAAAGGCTAGTTAATTTCTTTTGAGAGTACGTTATTTCTCCATGAATAGAACCATAGAATTATAGAGCAGTCATCATCACTCATAGGGTGGAAATGTTGCAATTGCCGCAACTTCATAGTTGAGAAAAAGATTGAACTTGCTGCACGGACCGGATAATACGAACTTAAGTGTTTGTAGTATTTTAGATATTTTGGGTTTTCGTGTTATTTATGTTTTTTATGGTATTTTAGGTATTTATGTTATTCATGGTATTTTAGATATTTATGTTATTTGTGTTATTCATGGTTTTTATGGTATTTTAGGTATTTCTGACGAAAGCAGTAGTAAAATAATTTCGTCGGAAAGCTGCCGAGCAGTGTAGTGGGGGGAGTGCAGTGGGTAGTGAGAGTGAGTAGAAAAACAACATTCCTCACATTAGTAATTTATGTGGCAGGGCTTTATATAATGGAACGGACGGAAACTATGTTTGAAATGCGTTTTACGTACATGCTTCTTATGTAATGGAACGACTTTTGAAGGGAAGTGTAGAAAAATATAAAGGATGACGATTGACAATGTTGCTATTCTGCTGCACCGACGGTGAAGCTAAGCTTGAGATGTAGAAATCAAGTCGACATTATGCATAATGGACTGAGCTATTTGAGCTTGATTAATAAAGTATTGTTTACGCTGCGACATTCAGATGAATCGAATCATGTCAGTAGAATTAATAGTAAGATCCGCTTTCGATTTTAATAGCCTTGTGACACAGAAAGTTGAAGCTGAAAACGGTTTAAAAAAAGATAGAGTCTTTAGTATGGGCTGAAGTGCCTGTGATCGAAGTCTGAGATTGATCAGATCATTCTTCCAAGCATTCGTAACGTGATTGGATTGGAACCGCTCGTAGTTAAGTATTATTTGTTAGCTACAAGTATCATTATAAAGTGTACGTTTCTGGAAGCATTTGCGGTAATACTCATGTCTCGGCTAAAATCTATCCGACCATTTTAGGAAAAAATCCATTAAGATGAAAACGCTTTAGTGTATCAGACTATGGATAAAAAGAAATTGTCAAGGTACTCGAAATGACGGAAAAGCTTGCGAAACTATAAAAATCACTCTTTTTAAGACCTTCGGAAAAGGCTGAAAACTTCATAACTTTTTCGGAAAAGGTTGTGGAATG